ATAGTTATTTAATGGAGAGTTAGGCATTTACATAATCCTGCAAGATCTGTTTCTCTGAAACATTTGAAGATGTTTGTGCATGGAAACCATTGAAAATTCCTCAAGCGGGAACATTCTGGTTCGCATCCTCTTTGTTTAGTTTATGGGTTCATCTTGTGAATAAACATCTAAAGAGCAGTTTCCGCAATGATGCAAGGACCAGAAAGAACTGTGAACATGATGAGGGGCATAAAAAATTTGTGAATCAGAGAGAAAAGGGACACAGACAGAAGATAGATGAAAAAGTGAGGAGCCGGGCAGAGAGGGGACTGATCTGACTTGACTGTATGGCCAAAAGTGACTGACTCTTTGACAATCTTCTTATCTAATACTTTTATTTCTCTGCAGAGATGATGATTCTGTTCCCTGTCTTTCAGACTGTTGAACTGCCTTCCAAATTATTGAACTGCTCAGAACTATTGTAATAATAAATAATCATTGGAATTGGGATGATTTGCTTGAATTAATTTAGTTCACATCAGACCTCGGCCACCATGTGGTCAACAGAGTTGGGCAAGTACAAACTAAAAACTGTAATCAATTATTACAATTCATAGTTCCATAAGTAACTGCCCTTATTGAAAGGGCAATTAAATTATTACTCAACAACGAAAAGCTCGTTACTTTAGTAAGATGCCTTTCAACAGCTTACCCAGCTTCTTCAGGTCCACTTATCGCTCCACTTTCTGTTGTTTAGCTGCAGTCCATTAATGTCGGCGCAGATGGAAGTTTCCACAAGTTTTGCAGGTTGCTGTGTTGCACCAGACACTTTGTGGTGTGCAAAATTTGGTATCAATCCAATACCAAGTAAATACAGGGCCAGTATTGGCAATACCAATAGCAGGTTAACTACTTTTGTGCAGGGCACAGCAATGCTTCATTGGTTTGGTTTGGGGATCTCCCTCCTCCTCCCTCCATTTACTTTGCAGCTCAGAGTTCTCTTTCTGGTGTTTTAATGTTTGTATAAATTTGTGGTGTTGCCACAATAGCAGATTTGTTGTCCACAGACATTGCCATTATGAGACAAAACAAAGGTTTTGAACAAACATATCCACTCAAATCTGAAGTGAGATCACAGAAAATAAGTAGTCTCAGAGCCCAATATGACCAGTCCACCAAGATCCTGAGACAACATGCTCATGAGTGTTCCCTCAGAGTTGCTTGGATTTTGGCTCAACACAAAAAGCCATTTACTGATGGAGGGGTTGTCAAAGAATGCATGAGTGCAGTAGCTGAAACACTACTTGAGGGAAAACACAAGAGCTTTGTGATAAAATAAAGCAAATACCCATGCCAGCATCATCTGCCACAAAGAAAAGTGAAATATTGACTCAGGATGTGCTAACCCAGCTAGATGAAGCCCTTCTTAAGGTACCATGTGTAGGCTTAGCTGTGGATGAGTCCACTGACATGTGTGACAATGCTCAGCTGTTAGTGTATGTCAGGTTTTCAACACAGACCAGAAAGCATTCTGTGAAGACCTGTTAGGTGTCACTCCCCTTCAGACCAGTACAAGAGGAGAAGACATCTACCTGGCCATTAAGGAGATGTTAACAAAGAGAGGAATAGAGCCAAAAAAACTGGTTTCAATAACCACAGATGGAGCCCCTGCTATGGTAGGGAGAGAGAAAGGAGCTGTAGCAAGACTGAAAGAGGACAATCCTGAGCTCATAGCTTACCATTGCATCATTCATCAATCTGTCCTCTGTGCCTTCCTGTCAGATGAGCATGCTGAGGTGATGAATACAATGATGAAAATGAATTTTCTCAGGGCATCCTCTTCGTACCAGTATTGCATGCGTAGAGAATTCTTCAGACAAGTTGATGCCAGTGCTGATGATCTTCTGCTGCACAACAATGTGCAAAGGCAGGGTGTTAGCGCACTTGTGGTCCATTAGGAGGGGAGTAGTATCATTTTTGGCAGACCTAAGAAGTCAGAAGGCAACACAGTTTTTGCTCTTTTTAGAAAATGAGAAGTAGATGGACAACGTGGGCTTTTTGGTTGATATCACTTCACATCTGAATGAACTGAATTTGCGGCTACAGGGCAAGGACAATTCAATTTGTGAACAGATGATGTCCGCTCCTTTCAGAGGAAACTTGAGGTGTTCAAGGAAGACCTGCAGGGAGACTGTGTACACTTCCCAGCAGTACAGGAACAGGTTCAGGGAGAGTGAGATGTGTCTTCTTTTGTTGATTTTATTGATAAGCTGATTGTAAACTTCAGCAACCATTTTGACAGCTTCAGCTTTGGACAGCAGCTCACCATGTTCATTCAGAACCCAGTTCTCATCACAGATGTCAGGGGGTTCTCAAAGAAAGTCACAAAGCACTTTAAATGGGTAAATGCTGGGCCTCTCCAGATACAACTGATTGATCTTCAAGCAGATGTGGCCCTGAAAGAGCACTTTGTAAGAACTGACCCTTCCACTTTCTGGCTCCAAATGGTCCCTAAGACAGGTTTCCCAGGTCCGACGAATGTAGCCCTATACATCTTGACCATGTTTGGCTCCACACACAACTGCGAGGCAGCTTTCTCCACAATGAACATAATCAAAACTAAATATTGTTCCAGGCTCACCAATGAGCACCTCACCATGTGTATGAGAATGGCCCTGACTCCATTCAAGCCCAGGTTTAAAATCCTGGCAGGACAAGCTAGAGCTCAATTCTCTCACTGAGTAAAGAAGTGGGGGTGTTAAATATAAGAGGGGAAGAAAGTGAGCCTCTAAAACTGTTCAATTGTTAAAATGTGTTGAGATGTATTATCTGTAAAGTTGGTTGAGACTGTTGAGTCAAGATGTGAAACAGAAATGGTGCAATTCAAGCTTTTCCTCTATTTTATTTTTCTGAAGTTAAGCACTTTATTTGAACATGCACAATTTTCATATTTGATTTATTTTCTCTTATTTTGAAATGCAGCCCTACCTTTATTTAGTAAATGAGAGAACATTATACATATTGACAGTCATACATATATGTTCAGTTCTATCTTATGTGACAATAAATGTCACAAAGTTTTTGAATTAATTTGATTTGACAGTGAGGTATTGATTACATGCAGATGTTGATACAACTACTAGGCTACTTAAATATATATCATACTAAATAGTTAGACATTATGATCTTACAGACCTTTGCTTCAAGAAATTTTCTCTAAATGGACCTCTTTAAATTTTAGTTAATTACCTCTGGTTTAGCGAGAGTACAAGGAGTGCACTTTGCATAGGCTTAGCACTACACAAATGACAAGTGTCTGGTTAAACATGGAAATAAAAGGACAACCATAAAAAAGACAAAGTTGTAGAAAAAACAACAATATGCAATATCAGACACTGTATTGAAAAAAAATATAAAGGTCACATTAAATCACACTAAAATGTTTTGGTCAAGCTCCCCTGCTCTGTTTAGAAGCCATGGAATGTGATTGTCAGACTTTTGAGCAGTAACATGATCAATTTAATGCCCTGGTTCATATTCTTTTCAAAGCATATACCACACTGAAAGGGAATGTGCTACCGAAGACCATGTTGGTGAGAAATAAATAAGTCTTAATATCTTAGCTATGAGGCTTTAATGTACTGTACCTCAGCTGTCATAAATGTTGTCATTGGCCTGAAGAACTGCAGTGGTAAATATCCTCATACTGTACTAGTATCTTGATATATACTTACACACCCTGATTTTACTTTTCCTCATATTGAGAAAGACCGCTGAGCAAAAGAGTGTGCATAGAGGCAAAAAAAAAAAAAAAAAAAGTAGAAATAACATAAAAAAGGTTTGTTTGCAGCTTAAAACAGATAAAAACTACAGCTTTAAAGCAGCAAAGGCACCTGCTTTTTAAGAGGAATGTTTTAAGATTTTAAAGCGACAAACAATCAAACAATCAATTAACTTGCTGTTAAATATACACGGAAAAAAACGGGATGGGGGGTACAAAAACTACAAAAACAGCTAGAAAAAAGGACAAAATACATATAACAAAACATAAATAAAATGATGTAAAGGCTAATAAAATCATAACAACACTCCTATCGCCTCCAAAATAAACTGCCTGTTGATGAATAGTTTCAGGATACAATAAAGCAAAAACCTTTTGTTATGAGTATAAAGATGTTATATAAGGTACAGTATGATAAGTCATATTCAAAACATCACATGTGCTAACATATATTACTCAGACCAATGCTGCAGTATTAGTAAAAGATAATAAAAGTGAAATCAGCTAAATTCTAGAAGTGCTTATATTTCTATCCTGAACTGGTGAATGCTGAATAAAATAGCAATGTGTGAAGCTTCTGCTTTAAATATAAATAAAAAAGAGATGGGAACTGATCTGAATGAGGGAGAGAAATAATTTTACCCATCTCTTTGGAATGTTGAAACTTAACTCATCTACTTTGTCTCTATCAAAACTGTCAGCATGGAGAACAGTAGATATATCTAAATTTAATTAGTTCTTTTCTTCCTGGCAGGACTGTATAAAGTAATTAGTAAGTACAATTGTCCAAATTTCACAGCATTGTGTTTCTTTTAGAAAGCAAAAAATCATTGTGCAAAGGGACTATAAATGGCAACCATACAAAAATGTGATCTTGGTTCAGCACAGTGCTTGGACAGACTCTCTCCTGTCCCTCTATTTTCTTGGGTCCCCTCTGAGAGAAGTGTGGTCATTATTTGGTTCTAAAGACAAAGCCAAGGAAGCATCTTGGATTGTCAAGGTCTCCAGCTTTAGTGGTTCCGTCAAGACATTAGTGCCCCATACCTGACAAAAGACACAAGACGAATCTGTCAGCTGTTTTACTACAAACCTGCAGACAAGGATGAGATAATGATTCTGACCTTCTGGACACAAAAAGCATCAAATCAAGCAGGAGACACCAATGACCTGGCTTCAGGGATGGCAATGTCAGTCTGATGGCCAGTTGGTCCAAAGATTTCATTTAGAGTGAAATAGCGCTATCCCTATTGGATGGATTGGCTTGAAACATTGTAGGCATTCATGATGCCCACTGACTTTATAGTTTTTAGTGAAATATTATTTGATTGTCATGAAATTTGGAAAATACATCCATGCTTCCCTCAGGATGAATTCTAACAGCTTTGGCCATTTATTAGAGCCAAACGTGTAAAGAGTGGGGTTGCTCGAGAGAAATACAAAATCAGTATCCTCTGAGTCAGACTGTGACGGTGTGCTAATCCCCAACATATCAGCTATTAATGTGACAAACCAGTCTGGTAGGAGCAGTGCCTCTGAGAGGCAGGACTGTGGTCTGGGCAGCAGACATGAATGTGAATGAGTGGAAGAGCTGAAAGGTTTGAGTGGCGTTGAGATGGCTGTTGAGTGGGTTTATAAAAGGATTATGTACTTGTACAGTATAGAATCCGTCAAGACCAAAACCATCTTCTGCCCACTGTGGGGAACAAAATGAGGAGGAGGCAGGACTCAAAACAGATTTTAAAATAGCAAGCAAAGTTTAAGCAACTTCCTAAAATGCTGTGGAGCAAAAGGCCAAATGGCAAACTGAAAAAGACTGCATGGTAGGTCAGCTATTGGTTTTGGACACATGGTGTTGTATAAATCAAAGAGCTAGTGAAAAAACCACCATCCTGCCAAAGGTTTTAGATATTTTAGATATGGAAATGTTTGGTGGTGGGAAGCCAATGAGAGATCACATGCTTTTCACTGCACTTGCTACTTCTACTGGTCAGTTAAGAACTTCTGAGCATGATATGCCCTCCCAGTGTAGTTCTTAGTTAGCCTGAGAAACAATTCACACACACAAGTTACTTTCTTGTGCCTTATAAAAACTCACCATTGGTGACTGATTTGGTCTCCCCTCTGCCTGCCACCTGCAAGACATAAGAACAGGAAGGTGATGCAGCAGCAAAAATGTAGACAGATGCAGATGCAGATGGTTAGCAAAGCATACAGTGGCCTCCACCACACTGCGACCCAGCCTCGGACTCTACTTCCCCTTTCCTAGAAAACTAAATCATCTTAATCATAAAGATACAAGAAACACATCTGACTGAGATACCAAAAATCCCATTATTTTTTAACTAAACAATCAGAATTACACTCTGATTACACAAAACTATCAATGCCTTAAAATCAAAACAGTTTCGCTGACACTATTGTATGTGCATTTTACATAGGGCAAATAATTATATGCCATAAAATGTTGTACCTTTGTGTGAAAAAAGAGCTATCAGGGTAAAATAATTTCTAATCAAATCTTAAATATCTTGTTTTTGACCGAATCTCTATTATCATTTTGAATAAAATAAGTAGCATCCAACCACAGGAGAACAGAGCACAGTTTTACCAGTTAGAGAAAAAAGTCTCCAGTGTGACAGCAGAGTGTGAGGTCATGGTGTGTCAAGTGCTTTCAAAAGATGTGGAACAATTACTCTTTTACCTCTCCATCCTTATTCCAGATTTAACGATGAGGTCAATTAGCTATGAGAGTTCTTTAAAACAAAAACAAATACAAGTGATTGTTACTCCTGTTGCTGTCCCACCAGGGTCACAATCTTGTTAGGTTAATTCTAATATTTATATACCATATCTTTAACAAAACGTTCACTTGATTGACAACAAATGGAAAACCAGGAACCATGGCACCTCTAAGAAGACCACAAACCAATTTGGCAAAGTTAACATTTCATCTGGAGAAACTCCCGATGGAAGAGACTGATACTGTCATTGCCCTAGCAATCTTTCTTTATGATAATGGGCACCGAATGGTTTGGAGTTATTTACAGCTACCTTTGCTGAAGTGGCCCCTTTGTTTTCCCATAGACTCCTCTTGTTGGTGACATCAACCGGCTTCAGATCCTGTCAGAAAGAGAGAAAACAAAGCATCACATCAATTTAGCATTTCTTGCTCAATATGAAAGTAGCGGTCATACTGAGTCAAAGGTACATGAGTACCTGAGATGTAAGGGAGAAGAATAATAGAGGAGGGTGAAGAGCTCAAGCAAAGAGAGCAAAAGTTAACAGACACTACCAAGCAGACAGGTACTTGTCTAGTGAAAGTGGAAAATAGCACTCTTACTATGAGGCTGAGGCCATCCACTATCAAGACATTACATAACATAAAATTCAGGAAAAACTTATTAATAGACTTTATTTAATATATACTTATAGCAAAACTGTTCCAATGAAGTTACAGCAAGTGTCACTTGTTGTGTGCGGTGTATGTGTAAGGCAGCCTTAAACATGAGCAAAAGTGTATAAACAGTGAAGCTTGCCGTCTGCAAGCTTATGATAAAATGCTTAACACTGTACAAACTAAGGCAATGTCTAAAATATCCACTTACACTGTGTGTACATATGATGATGGATCAAAGAGTAGATTGTGGCAAGCTCAGAGACTTCACAAGTTATTCGCATTAGTGGCCAGCAGGAGGTGCCAGACATGTCATTTCCCACACATGCACAAGGACAGGCTGACATGCTTGTACTGCATCATTTGAAAATGATTAGAAAACATGTACTGTACAGAACACAACCAGTAGTAAATGTAGGAACTGAAAGAACTGTAATACAACAGAGCTGATGACACTGAAAGTACTGCATTTTATTATAAAGTTGACCAGTGTTTGCTGGCCTAAATGCAGCAAAAAGCCCCAAGTATTTTTCAGTAATATTTAATATTAATGTGAACTATAAATATGTTATTAACAAGTTAAAAACATATTTGGGTATTATGACCCAATTCCTCATGGAAAGAAGATGATTTGCATTTTCTTAAAGAAAATGTGTAGATCCTGGGACTTAAACCAAAACATTTTAGTTCAGTTAAAACCATCAGGTGTATATAAAAATGGATGATGCATCACCACTTCCAGCCACCAGGCAAAAGTGAAGGCAAAATACCATGAATACAAGTGTGGACATCTTTCTTTTGTGATGCACCTTGCAGCCAGATTCTGTGTAGAGGTGGAACCATGATATCAAAACTGTCAAATTATCCAACATACACCCTTTTTATATCATCAAATAACTTCTTAAAAACAAACTTATCAGAAAATGACCACCTGTACAAAAAACATACCTACAATACCTAAAATGGCAAAAATCACCTCTAGGAGAAATGTATTTGATTTGTACTTTGAATGTTTTGTTTGGCTCATGTTTGCTCACATAGAGGGGATTGGATTTATGAACTATACTGCAACCAGCCACCATCCTACTTTATATACAGTCTATGGTAAAAACAAATTTTCAGGTATACAGAGATGACTGTAAACATAATGCAGGTCAACCAACAGTGCATTTGCTATATTATTTTTTTAGTATTTCTCTACAGGGCCTTCATGGGAACAGTCCATATACCAATTTTACTGGCAGCAGTAACAGGTTGCTATGACAATGACTTACTGCTGGCCTTCCTCCTGGAGTTTTGCCGCTCTCCGGAGTTTTATTCAGCCAGTCGTTGATGCGACCCGCCACACCTGTCTTCATCACAGCTGCTTCCTGTTTAAATAGGGTCAATAGTCAGCTAAGCCTGGTTGTCATCGGAAATAGGGCCTAGCAGGAAGTGCCAGAGAACTTGACTCTTTCCTGTCTCTCACTCTTTTTGCTCTAATCACACACACACACACACACACACTCGTTCACCATCTGATCTTTTACCTTGAACGTGCTCCCACCACCACCAGGAGAGCCAAACACGTCCCCTTTCTCCCACATGCTCTTGATGTTTCGTATGTTGTCAGTGACCATTGGCAGATCCACTGCTCCAGAGCGAGGGGATCGAGGCTCTTTGGTCTCTCTCTGCATAGACAAAAAGTTGGCCTTAAATTGACAAATGCATAGCATGAGAGTTCTGATCCAAGTTCTTTATGCTTTTTAAAAATCATGTAGAAGTTATGACAGTTGCTTTTCTTCTTATGGTTCCAGGTACACATGTACCTGGAAGATGTCTAGTTATATTTTTTATGTCTACTGTATAGTTGTGTCTTGCAGTCTCAAGTGGAATGGTAACTACAGTTTCAGTTTCATGTGTCATTAGTGTTGATGCCACTTTTTGCTACAATATTTTTGCTTTTTCACTGTAGATGCAATGCTAACCTGAGCAGCTGAGGTGTACTGCTCCAACCTGTTGTCTATCTTGGACACCACAGGAGAATGAGACGTCTTCACTGTGCTGCTGGGCAGAAGTAAGCCATTAGCATACTGTGCTTAAAAAAATAGGACTACCTTAAATACCATTTGGTCTTTAGTTCCATAACAGCAGACACTCAAGTATTAAACTTTCAGCTCTGGGTTACATTTTTCCATTTCAGGACTGCTGCAAGGCTTACATGCCAAGACAGATTGATCTGGTGGATGGTGCTTAAACTATGTTTTTACCTTTTCTGTGCTGACTTGTTCAGGAACTCTGCTCTCTCTCCAATCTGCAGAGAAAGGTGAGAAAGACATATAGTTACTGCAACTATGTTCCAATCATGCATACATCAATGCAATACCACATTTTTCCTTTACTCTTCTCTAGCCTCAAAACAGATGCTAAATACAACCCTCATTTTGATTTGTTTGCATGAGTAGTGTTGTTGTAAACCCATTTATGACTAAAGTTCATAGGACAATATGTAGACACACTTGTGATTCTGTTCTGAATAATTATAGGCCCTTTGATGATTCATAACTGAAACTGCATTATGTACTTCTAATTCTGGATTTTTCATTTTGTCTTATTTTTTTATGTTAGACCTTCCTGTTCAGGATCATATAATGTAAATGACTGCTCCTTTCATGCGCAAAGTGCTGTGAAAGATAGAAGCAGAAACAACACAGCAAGCCTTTTCCTATCACTGCCTTTGGACTGTGGGAATCTCAGAGAATTGTTTATGATGTTTGACAAAAAGGCTAAAAGAGGGGGCAACACATGCTGCTTAGACACTCAAAAAACCCATCTGAACAGACAAAAGAAGAAACAGCAGCAAAAGCACTCTCCCCTCTCTCTCTGTGAAAAAGGACTTCGGCTACTACCAAATGTGGGAGTCTCTAAAATACTCTCCACCACGAAATTCCCCATTCTCACATGTGTTTTACAAAGTTGTAGCCATTTGAATGCAGTTGCTCTTTTTTCGGCAATACTAATTATGTGCCCACCAGCTATCTCGGTCCTTTTGTATCTTATACAAAAAATATCATAAAAACCTTGGTTTTCTATTCAATAACTAGGTGAAATTCGACAAGCAAATAAAAATGCTCTTGTCCGATTTATACCCCCTGTTCTATCCTCTCTTCATTGGTTACCTGTTCATTTTAAGACTTAGTTTAAGATGCTATTATTTACACTCAAAGCTTTAAATGGTATGGCCCCAGAATATGTTTCTGATCTTGTGCAGTGGCATAAGCCTTCGAGAACTCTTAGATCAGCAAACAGTTTCTTGTTGAATATTCCCGGGGCTAAAAACACTGTCGATGGGGAGATTGCGCTTTGTCAGTAGCAGGCCTGAGACTTTGGAATGCTCTGCCCGTTAATCTTAGCTCTGTTTTGTTTTAGCTGAGTTTAAATTTACACTCAAAAACTATTGCTAGTTGAGCTTACTCATTCTGTCCATCTGTGATTGTGCTGTTTTTAAAATTTCTTTGTTTGCAATTTTATTTTATGCTTTATTATGTATTTTTATCTTACAACACTTTGGGCAATCTGTTGTACTTTTAAAGTGATATATAAATAAACTTTGATGTGACTTGACTTATAGCATTCCTGTTAACCATTCGGGCAAGTGCCCAGAAACCTGTCTCCAAATGAATGCTAATGTTGTCGGACAAGAGAATAAACAACTGTTTGCTAACACATTAGCCATTCAACTTTATATGCAGAATATGCTTATGCTGTGTTGTTGTGATGCCCCCAAGTGTCCAAACTGTATGCCATAGAAGATGGTAGAGCATGGAACAGGTCGCATATTTTTGTACAAACCTGATCTGTACCTGAGAGAATGGCATCCGAATCCGACCCATATGTTACATGCTTATACAGTATATAATATCCAACCCAGCCCAAGCCCAGTGCAGTTGAGTTTGTAAGGTAATTTTCCCCTTATCAAACAAACAAATCAAACATTCGAGTGCGCCAACCGTCTAGCACAAAGGTTACCTACGCATCCGAACCCGACTGGGACCCGAACATGATTTTTTTGTCTGAACTGGCCCAAACGCTCGGGTACTGACAGATCATGTCGGGCTTGATTCGGGTATCCACAATCCAGTCTATTATGGCATTCATCTGAACTGTCTCAGTAGTGGAAAAGAGCTACTGCTTGTTGTAGACAATGAGAAAAAAATATAAAAAATAAAACAAAAGTTGGAAGTTAACAACACACAGTACAGCTGTGTTATAACAACAAAGTGTCACAACAACACTAAAAACACTGCAAAGCAAAGCAACAGTTCATACACAATAAAACGTATGGTGTATGAAATATGCAACAGACAGATGCATCAACACAGACACACACACTTACACAAACAACTCTACCTACAGTGAACATGATGACAAAGTAAAGCTGTGTCCAGGAGGCCAGTGAAGCAGGGTGAAGAATCACAGTTGAACCACATATTTAAAAAAACTGAACATAAACAAAGTACATGATTCTAGTATGATCAGAGCTCACACACCATTAGAGCCGACATCTAGAGTCTCTCTGGGACGGGCCAGATGGATATTACTGTTAACTGTTACTAATTAGATTTTCTCCCCTGGTGGAAAATCCCTGTCGCTTTTCAGTGTGTGCGAGATGGCTTTATGCAAAACAGGAAACATTTGTTCACATTTAGGTTGATTAAATGGTCTTTTGACATGACAAACGTTTGTCTTTGGATGAAATGAGGGGAGAGTTGATTTGAGTTGCTTTTTCTTGTGTATTTCTTGTGACTAAGAGTTTAATAAATCAGCAGAATTTCAACATGAAAAGTCAAATAAGTTACAGAAAAAACTGCCAGCAGCTGACTTTTTCACATCGATTTCACAGTTCATTGAGTTTCTTTCCATTTATGAACACTCCATCCTCTCGGTCAGATAACATTTCATGCTTAAAAGAGGTGAGAGGGACAGATGGGGTTATCTGGCACTAAATCTCTCCAAATATTTAGAATGTTTAACTTGAGTATTGCTGTGCTGCTGGATGAGTGGGATTTGCAAGTTTTGGATTGCTATAATATTGACTTCATTATGACAACTGTTTTGAACAGGGTGCAAATGCATGAGAAGCAGAAAAATACAATATTGTGTTTGAAAGTTGCAGTTGTTCTGTACTGAACTAAATTATCTACGTTTTACAAAGGATTGATGATAATTAGGTAAACCCCTTCTCTTAACTGTGATTTTCCAATCATAGCACAACAGCCATGGCCAGCAGACCTGTCAAATTTTGGATTGGATGTTGAAGCATTGTCATGGCGATATAGTAAGACCAACTGAAGCTTATTTGTCTGCTTTAATATAGACTGCTAAAAGTAGCGTGCTTAGCCCTACTGTAATAAGCTAGCTGCTTCCAAGGGCAACGAATTTATAGCGAAGTTTATTAGTCTGTATCCTTTTCCAGACTAGCGCATTTTCTATGTGTTGTATTTCCCTGTTGTGTAGAAGCCAGTCATTGATGCTACTCCATCACAGTGGAGGCTGGCAGCTCTGTTCGACTCTTCGTGAGATCTGGGGCACTTCAGCAATCTTAGCTAAACAAATGGCTAGCTCATGTAAGTTTGATCTTTAAAGCCTTTACTCTTGCGACACTGAAAGTGAAATATACTGTTTGAAAATACAGACAGGTATACAAGTTAAAAATGGGGATTATTATAGAACATCGTGTGATCTTAAATCTTTCCTTAACATATATAGAGAGAGGTATGATAAGCAACACAGGTCCCTTTGACATTAGACATTATGTGGTATGCAGCGTAACCATTAGGCCAGTGGAAGCCACAGTTTTTTAGCATTATTATGAAATTAACCAATGTTTCAAAAATTCTGAGCGGTAAGTCTGACATGATTTGACACGCATGTCATTATAAAGTGCATATGTGTTGTGTGAAAACAGACAACTTGACAGGAGCAGCAACAGTGACTATGGGACACAAGGCTTAGTAAATGAAGAACTGGCAGATAAAACTGAATTGACACTCTTCTCTTGTGACAGGTGAGAGGTTAAAAATGCTGCACTGACCTTCAGGGAGGAGCCTCGAGGGCTGACACATTTGAAGGGTTTGTCCTCCTCATCCATAGTGTCTTCCACCCTGTGTCTTTTCTCAGCTGCCTCTGCTCTCCTCTTTTCGATCTCCTCCTTCATCTTTCTCTTTTCCTCCTGAGAAAGACAAATGCTGAAGTTCAGAAGATTGATTTCTGAGCACAAATTTAGAAAGGAATTAATTAGAAATCCTTGAGTTTTTTTCCTGTTTTTGTTTTGCAGCACATTTGTTGTTAACAAGTAATTTAATAGGAGTATTTGTAGGTGGAGCTCTGTTCTTTGTCAGTTCAAGCATGCTGAATATTGCTGCAGATGGTAGCTGTCTACTTCTCTTGTAATTACTCAGACCCAAGGTTTTGGATGAGAAACTATAAAAGCTTTCAAAAACTGGGCAAAAGTTGAATGACTTTCATGTGACAATGAATGACAAAATCTAAATATATTTATCTGGCCTTGGCTTATTATATCAAATAGCATATGTCACAGACACCCAGCAATGCAGCTGACCCAGAGAACAGATACACGCCAATTTGATTAATTGATTTACTCATGAACAAGTGTGATTACTTAGAGAAAATTCTTATTTACAGTGATTGGGTGCCTCAGGGGAAAAATGCAGTTTTGGAAAGCTTGAGACATGCAGATCATCAACAGCTTTTCTTTTTTTTTAACAATTAATGTATGCAACATTTGTACTGTATTCAGAAGAGGGCTGGTGCTTGGCAGTATATCAGCCCTTTCCAACAGCCTTGTCTTGGTTAATTAGTCTCTATCTCTAGGCCATCTTTTAATTACAAACCAAAAGGCCTCATTAACATCAGACAAGAGGAGAAGAACAGAGTGAGAGACAGGCCGCCACATTCTGAGCCAAGATCAACAAAGAAGACCAGTCAGTGTAAGTAGCTGAAAGAGAGAATGAACAATGTTGTGCGGGTGAGCACATCTGTCAATACACAGGCAAAAGGAGGGTATCACATTTGATAAACACAAGGAGGATGCTCTTATAAAAGGAGGAAAAAGGAATGATATATGTAAGTTACAAATAGTGACCCAAATTGGAGTCATGATAACAGTGAGGTATGGAGAGATAATGTCACCACAGCGCTAGTATTTGTGATGCATGGGTTTCAGCTCATGCAGGTATAAAGGCTACATCAATGTGAATGTGGGGGTCTGAAAAAAATGAGAAAGGATAGGGGTTATAAAATCTGAATAAAAACCGAACTGAGATTGATAAATGGGAAAAATAATCTTAAAGTCAGACTGACACTTTCTTCTTTGCAAAGAAATTAGTATATTTGTAATTGGTGTTTGGCTTTGACTCATGTACTTATTAGGTGAAAATTGTTAAAATTAGCACAAAGAAAATTATATGAATTTGATTTCATTTATTTTTCTGTTCTAATAGTGCTCCCTAATTTTGTCTTCTCCAAGACAAATTCATCTTTGCTTTGGACTGAAATGTCACTACTTACCAGGACCATAAATATTGTATATCACTTCAATTTCAATAGCTCAATAGGCAGTTAACTGGCTGATATTATTATCTGCTATTTAGTGAGCAATTTCAGTTTCCCATATGTGACTTACTTTGCACTGTGATACATATAACTGGGTATTGTCGAGATTACAAGACTTGTTGCAGTGAGTTTTGACAGTCTATTTCCTGCTACCACATCTGGACACATGAGAGACAGCTAGCCAGATGTAGAGCTAGACTCTAGCAGGGGCTACCAATTACTCAGCAGATGTTGAAACAATATGAATTTATTTAATGTCTGGTGGGAATGAGGGGCAAGCTAGGCTATTTAGCTTCCAATTTCCAGCAGTAAGCTAGTTAGCGTGTTGAATTGCTGTAAAGGGACATGTCTGAAATCACTAACAGTACAAAATCAGTAAGCACTATGTAGACTTGTATCAATATTCACATGTTAAAAGGATCTGTAGCCCAGAAGTTGACAACATGGGCCCCTAGAAGTCAGTCAGCTGCTGCCATGGGAAACACACATTCAGAGGTTTAGATGCTCTTTCCACAAGTTGTGTCCTAAAATGTTTTATCCATGAGGTGATTTTAAAAAAAAAGACCTCATCAGAATACTGTATGTCTATCTCTTTCTTACCTCCTCTTTGGCTTTTCTCTCAGCCTCCTCTTGCTTCCTCTGTCGTTCTTCCTCCTCTAGCACCTTCCTTCTCTCCTCCCTCTTTCTCTTTAGCTCTTCCAGTTCAGCCTCTGCCTCCTGCTGTTTCTGCCTCATCCGCTCAAACTCCTCACTCTCCGCATCATCACGGCGACGCTTCAGCTCCTCCAACTTGCGCTCTGCCTCCAGGTGGGCAGCGTCGTCTTGGTCGTCACCAGTGGACACCTCGGGGGAACGTACACCACCACGACTGGGCCATATGCCACAAAAATAAAGGTCAGAGTACAAAAGTAGGCCATTAGGGAAACAGTGGAGTGTAAGTAAGACACCAAGCTGAGTGACACCTGATACAAACTGAATACTTAAACATATATTGGAGGGTGTGTCGCTATCATGGACAAGAAAACACAGAAAGACAAAAAATGTTTAAACACAAATACCAACAGTCACATTTGCAAAGATAAGAAACAGCACATCATTCAGTGTGTCATGCTGGGGACTTATTGTAGGTGACCCAAGTCAAAAACATATTGTTGCCCTGCTATGGCTGAATTCTCAATAAAAACAGATTGCGTGCTTCACAGTTTGATTTAGATATGCTTTTCAATTATTTTGCATATGCCCAAGGCAACACTTTCATGCCTTTATGCTAGCCTGAGCAACAAACTGTAAATGTCAGACTGCAACATTAATTAAGTTACTATGTGAATAAAGTGGCCCTGTTCAGCATATGCCAACTCAGTGAAGCCAAATAGTAACATTTCTCCTCTATCATTTTCAGAATAAACTTCAATCTGCAATAATGTAACTCAGTAAATGCCAGTCTTGGTTATACTAGGTTTTGTTTAAATTTTATGCTTTTTAAATCTATGTGATAAATTTTTATTTTAGGAATGTGTCTTTTTCACCCACTACTGGGTATCTTATTATTGAAAGTAATGGCAATCTGTGGCTGTACCTTGATCTCTTCAACTGACCTTTGTGTCAAGAATATTAAGTTACTGTAGTACTTTTCCACAACTGGTCAAGTGTCGAGAGGCTATGAAGTATCAGCACATTGGCCAATGTCTGCATCATATCATATCTTTTAAGGAAACTACTAACATAAATATGGCAAGTATGTTTGATGTCTAAAAAATGTTTTATTCTACATTTATGTATAATTATTTTGCATCTGTATTTTGTTTTAGGACTGGCCTCAAATATCCAGTGTGGATGTTTGTGGTGTAACATGAGAGAAAGCCACAATTTGGATATTTACTATAAAGACAAATTACTTTCTAGTAATTATTTAGAATTTTTAAGCACATATTCTTAATTAAATGATTGCCAAATTGCCAAATGAATATGAAGTTGTTTAGTAGAGCACAAAACCTTTTGAATAATTCATAAAACCTGGCTATTCCTGACTTTGGCCTGAGAGAGAACCAGGTGGTGACTTCATGTGCGTTGCTGTGTCTGTGTACCTGATGGTCCTCTCAGGTTTCCTATGCTGTTTGGGAGCCGCCTCCTCATGCAGCCCTCCATTCTGCTTCCTCTCCTCCTCTCTGTCCTCCCTGGGGCCACCTCTCTCGTTCACCTGCAGCCACACACACAAACAACCAGGATGTCACATGGGACAAAGGGCCCATCCCAAGTCTCTAACATGATTGTTCCTCACTTCTCTATCCTCGCTCAACCCAGAAGTCATTCCACTCCTGACACCTTTCTCCACCCACTCCAACCTGCCTGTACTCACCTGTTCACCTCTTTCCCACACCCCCCATCACACTGGACTGTTGACCCCAAATACTTAAACTCCTGCACCTTCTTGACCGCAGCCCCCTGTAATCACACTGTTCCACTTCCCTCCCTCACGTTCATACACATGTATTCTGTCTTACCATGATTGACTTTCATTTCTCTTCTTTCCAGAGCAGACCTCCACCTTTCCAGGTGTTCATCCACCTGCTCTCTGCTCTCACTACAGATCACAATGTCATC